GTTGTTTGCAGATCAATAGCCAGTTTTGTTTATGGCTCGTGGTCCGGATGCCTTTTTCTATGGGTTTACCGGTATAATAAACCATAGGTTTTTGACCAATCAGATCACGCGTACTATCTCAGCTATTTTATAAAAAAATATAAGACATTGTTTTTCAAATTTTCTTTTAAGGTTTTCAAGAGTAAGAACAAAATAATAATTCGGTGAAGTTTCAGTGTCAGGGAATGTTTCTTACGCGTTCACCCTTCTCTCGAAGTTGCCATTGCATCCTGCCGTGTTTTGTTCGAAAAACAGGAATAAAATCGATTTTTCAAACTTTTTTTAATTTCTCCTTTAAAATGAATCGTTTGAACCCAAAACTATTTTTCCTTAAATTAGGTCACTAAAAGGGATGTTTTGGCAAAATAATAAAAAATTCGATTTTTTGACGAGTGTCTTGCGATTCTCGATTTTCTCAGAAAATGGCTCTTAAATCTAAGCGCCGAAAGATCGTTAACGGCAGAGATTGCGTTACATTTCACAAAACGACCGCTTACCACTGTTCTCACTCCTTTTTTCGCTGGAAGCTACGAGGAGTTTCCATTCCGTCATGTGCGATTCTTGATCAGCGCTTCCTTGAGAGTACGACCCCGGACAGATGATAACTGAGGACTTTTCGTCAAGATTCCTGTTGTTCAGTTTCAGGCTTTAGCAGGTGCGTAGTCAGGATTTTTCCGGAGGTACCCCCAACTTTTTCTACATCGTCTCCCCCCCCCTCCCCCCACCCCAAATCTCAACATTTTTTAAGGTGCCTATATTAAAGGTGGGGTTAACGGTTGTAAGCAAAAGTATTTTTGCTGTTTATGAAATGACACAACCTCTAAAATTCTTTAATTCTGTCGGCTTGTTATGTTCATTGACGTCAACCGTTTATCATTAATTCAGCTATTAAAAATCATGCTTGTAGTACCTCCGACTTTAGTTTACAAATGACTCTTTTTACCCTTTTTTTTTCGCATTATTTTTGACCGACAAAAGCACCACACATTGACGTAATTGTGCCCTACTTCGTCTACTCCGAAGACAGGTCGTGGAGAAAACAACGCGTTCACGCTTTACATCATCAAGCCTGCTATATAAATAAAGCATCCAAGGTTCGGTTCTCCAATTAATGTCCTCGCTTCCCTGGAAACCGATTTTTTTAATTATGTTTATTTCATCCTATTTTTTCTCCTCAACGTTTTCGGGTACGCACGTGCGAACCGTGCATACAAGTAGCTACGCCCCTGTTTAGTCCCCTTAGCCCTGAGCGTTCCTCTCTTCCGGTTTTCGCAGGCGTTCAGGATGTGGTCTACCCAGTATTTCACGTCTCTATTGAATGACAGGCAGCACTTCTTGTTTACCGTTTCGTTATCAGACAGCGCTTAGACTCTTAGCCTTTCATTTAATTTTGATCAAATTTTTATCATTTAGTTACTCAGTATACGTTCGACCCTGTCCTTGTAAACTTATACTTTTATACTTTAAGGGAGCTTAATACCTATATTAATTTTTTCTTCGTTTAGTGTGGTGCAACAGACCCAGTTTTTTGGCATTCTTTTAAAAAAGCAAGAAAAAGAAACAACAAAGTTTATTTTTTTGGACTTAAATTAATTCTTTTAATCTAAGAAATGAGCATTATAACAGCATTTCCAGGGGTAAAACGTTCGGTGGTGTATCCTTTTTGCTTTTTACCCTTTTTGGGCCTTTTTTTATGAAATTGACCGTCACATTTTCCGCAATATTGAGTTTGTGTCGATTTGGTGACCATGTCTTGTTTTCACGGCAATGATGCTGTTGAGTCATCCAATTTCACGACTGTTTATTCATCGAGCCAAGAATAAGTCGGTGAAGTGAGACGCAAACACTTCTTACATGTACCAGTCACTGGCCAGTTTGCAATTCCGCAAAACTTGTCACTTCCCATTATGCCGCGTCGCATCGCAGTTAGATGAAGTGACACTCTCTTCGAACGTTTTCCCTCTTGTACGATTCAGAATAACTGTGAAAATTTCTTTAATTTGGATAGCCGTTTTGAGAAGGCAGGTAAACGCTTAGGGCCTGTTTACATGGAGGTGGGGGTCCCCATGTTAGTGAGGTGACTCGCTTAGGTCGGGTAACCCGCCTGTCCTTACAATCTCTCATATGGTCACCCCCACCTATCATGTAAACTTGATCAAATTATAATTAAGATGAGAGACTATATGGACATGGGGTTACCAACTACACGTGAACAGGTCTCTAAATTGTGTACTTGAGGTTGTACAATGTATTTGCATAATTATATCCGACCAACCTTTGTTATTTTGGCTGCTTTTGTGTTCCCATTTTATTTATTTATTTATTTATTTATTTATTTTTTCAGTTAAAAAGAGAAAACCGTTATTTAGCAATCCTATTGAAATGAAATATTTAGCGTGAATAGTAACAGTTTATCAGCCTACCTCATAAAATGGCTTTTCAGCCAACTTTACAATTGAAATTTGATAATTAAAAGCATAATTATCTACTTTACATTAAGTGAAATTTATTGGGGGAAAAAATGAAATAAATAAGGAAATGACGCTTCTGCACTTCGGCCGTAAGCTGCTCGAGATTCTTCTATATTACCTGAAGTTTCTGCAAAGTCATTCCAGAGGTGGACTGCTCATGGCCGGTGACCGGCAGTGAATCTAAAGGAAGGCATGTCTAACTTGTTTCTGTTTCCGATATTACTAGAGTGCGCATCGACCATTTTCTTAAACCTGTTACATATAGGGGGCTGGGCAAGTCCCTTAACATGAGTGAAATAAACTCGAATTTTTTTAAGGCCTGTCAAAAGAAGCAAGGCACGAGTTTTATCACTGGTTAAAAAATCTTGCGCTTATTACACTCGAATGTTAAACCAGAGATAAAACACTGCTCTTCTTGTTTTAAACATTTCTAAACACGGAACGCTTCCAGACAAGAAAACGATTGTTTTTCCTTTTCCTACATTGAGATAGATTACCTTAGAATTAAACACCAAAAACCATTCACCAACATTTGACAATTAACTTGAACGAAATGGAATAAGAGTGATAAAAATTAATTTGAAACAGCGTGAATACACTTTTTTTTGTGGCGTTTTCGCTCCATGCCGTCGCGGTCGTGGTTGCTTAATATGCTCCTTATATGGAAAGAGACTGTGACGGGTATGCCAAATATGGAGAATATGGACTCTACGCCTCCGACCGAGTTTAATAAACTCTAGAGGGGCTAAACTGTAACGTCACTGAAATTCGCAGTGAACTGCGAGATTAAACCGCACCATTTGAAGAGAGAGCATCATGCCGCTAGCACGCAAGCTCAGAAAGAAAAAAAAAAAACCTTATAGGCGTTTGTTATTTTGCGCGTTTCAGCCTGATCATTATGATAACAAGCTTCAATCGTATCTGACACTTGCGCGAGCTTGTTTTTTAAAGAGAGCCTCCAGCAAAGTGTGGTTCGCTGCTTTCCGTTATTTACCCTATGCCGCATCTCTTGACGCACACGGATCCGTGCAGAAAAAGAAAATGAAATTGCATGAAACTGCAGGCAATGAAAATATCAAACAGGAATAGTTCATACTTCCTTTTGAGTTCATGGGCGTTCTAACTCAGGGGATTTTGAAACTCGACCTTGGTACCAAAGTTCCAAGGCGACCTCATAACAGTTACAAAGGTATAAAGTAAAAGTCTCTTATTACCGACACTACAACGTTTTTAAAAAGTCTATTTTTTTTACAATCTGACTGAGTTAATTCTCGTGCGCTCATTGGCTAATTTCTATCAACAATAAGAGGACAGACATAAAATTGTAATTTCTGCAAGACGAAACACCGTACATAACGGAGAGATTCTAAAATTTACCCGCTTAAAACGGACACCGTTTGATATGGACAACGGACACTCTTTTGTGGCATGTCCCGAGGCACAAACTCGCATACATTGTTTACCCCTGCTATTTACGGACACTGGTTATCTGCGCGCTGTGTATTTTCCTTGTAACAATCACGTGCTAATTGTAGATATTGCACACTGTTCAAACAATGACAGATTTCTTTTGGTTTAAGAAGCAGAATAGCGGGATAAGTCAGTCTTTCCCGCGTTTGACCCTTGTACTATAAAGCCATTTAATATTTTTTTTGTTACAAAAGTTTCACTTCCTTATTGGCTTTTCGCCACAGTCATTGTCCCTACCTTCTTCCCCTTTTCTGCCATAGTCTTTATATCAATACAACATGTGTCCTGGACGTTTTTTCGGAGAGCCCAGTTATTACGGCCATCCGGATGATACGGACCCCAAGGCATTTCCCCTAATTGTCCGTATTAACCAGGTTCTACTGTAGTTTTTTTTTTTTAAGTTTTTTTTTTTTTTTACTCATCCTTTTTTTTCCCAAACATTTGTTGTAGTGAAAAGCAAATTGACGCCAGATCATAACATTGTCAAATTTTCTACTAGATTCACTCGCCTGGAGCTCGTGTTACGGTGGATTCACAACACTTTGACAATGTTATGATGCAGTTTTATCATCAATAAGAGGACAAACGATAAAGAAACTAGCCTCAATGTGATGAATTGAACCAATTTTAGTGCATAAAATTATCATCCAACCTACTATTTCCCTGCTTCATCGTATGTAGCAGAGATCACTCATCCATTTGCAGGCGCAGATCGAGGCAGCTTAAGAATGCCTACAGATATATTAGTCTCCCTTTCCCACGTTATTGCTTAAACATGACTGTATTTCCACCATAAAGTGTATTAGTCACTAACCAATTCTCAATTACTCGTATGTAGACAAATATCGCCACTGTGGAGCAGGTGCTGGGGATTTTTAGAGGACGTGAAAATTACCCACTTCGAACCTGCTTATGTACAGTCGATAAAACGTTTTGAATCATTAAACTACAAGAAATATTAAAATATTCAATGATTTTCTAGCTTTTTAAAAATTATATCATTATCATTTTTTTATATATGCATCAGAATGCCAGAATTACGCAAGTCTTAACAACGCTAACAGAAAGATTACGTACACTTCTTACCACGATTATTGTGACAGCAGTCTCGGACCTGGTTGGTTTCGTTTTGAGGGGTCCGCCGGTACAAGAATGCCAACGTCATGTCCACCTACAGACAGATGTGGCACTGATGCAACCGGCTGGTTGAATGGTGGACACCCCACAGTAGCAGATGGTCAGGTCAGCAGGACGGTGTGTTTTCACTGGATTGGTAACTGCTGTCTCTGGTCAACAAACATCAATGTGAGAAATTGTGGTGCATATTATGTGTACTTTCTTAGTGGTACACCTGCTGGTTGTGATCTCCGTTATTGTGGCACTGACTAGACACAAGAGGCGAACGAAGTATTTACGTATTCCTTTCAGATCTTTCACTAAGGTAGGCAATATCAGAAAAAGATTGCACTTGACTAGATCTGTATCTCTATAACTGAAGAAAAAGGGGAAAAACCTATGAGTTAGCAAAACGTACTACTAGCCGGTTAGAGGATAAATATACTTAAAAGCCTTTTTGAGGATCAAGTAACAAAATAAATAATTATATTAATAGAACTTACCAGGAAGTCAAACTAATGAATTAAATAATAAAACAATAATACATTAAATTAGCATTAAATGTTTTAACTTAGAGGATGTGCTGTTACTTGTTTTAAATATAAATATAGGGATGCACTCTATAGAAAATGATGATAAAATCGGAAACTAAATGCATAACGATAATAGGTACAGTCAACTCTCGTCTTGCAAACACGCCGGCAATAGTCGAACAGCAGCTAAATTCCCTTCCTACTGCAGACTCTTGATTGAGCTAACAAGGACACTAACTCGCGGTCCCGATCGCCGAACTTCACTATGTTGAAGCAATTTTCGGATTAGCATTAGATTTTCTTTGTGAAATGAACGTAAAGTTTAGTGAAATACCTGTCACATGCGTGTATTTTTATTGAATTTGACAATAAGCTATTTGCACGTTGGCGTCATTTTACTCACTACCAGAATCCTCTAAACCCCGGATTACATAAAGCGTTCTACCGATTTTCATTTTCATCCAAGCCAGACGGTGGAGTCTTACGCTAAGTGAATCAAGTGTGCAAGTCGCACTTGTGCGAAGGACACGAAATGTCAATCGTATATCTCGTATTTAAAGTGAGAACCTAACAAATCCACTCTAGAAAGAAAATTGAGATTAAGTAGGAATCGAAGAAAAATTTTTTGACCAGGGGAGATTTAATCAGGCTGTCATGATAAGACGAGGTTCCTCAATAGGTTTTACGGGATACGGGTTTCCCTTATTTGAAGCTCGGAATTCGGGATTTTAAAGCGAGATCGAGGCGTGATTTGGTATTGACGGTACGCGCGGGCGTGGGAGGTGAGTTGCCAAAAATAACCCTCGGGATTGCACGAAGTTTTGGGTTGGGATTACTGGATTGAAGAACCCTACTGGGGACCCTCTAAGAATGAACGGCCTGGTTTCTCCGGGTCTCCATTACAGATCTCCGGTCGTTAGCCGTTTTAGAAAGCTTCATCTTAACTCACATCTTTCTCAGCCACTTTCCAATACTCCTGCCATATCAAAGCACCAAGCTTGTTCACGCAGCTGTTATACAGCTGGATTTTAGTCGACTTGCTGTGTTATTAAATACCCTTCAGACTTTCCCGGCATTACTTTATTAATATCTCCGCGAGAGCCATTTTCATTGCTAATAACGCTGCCCAAATCAATAAAGTCATCAATGAATTCCATTTTCGCCGGGCATCTGGGGTGAGAGCATCGCCTTGTCGTCCCATATAAGGGAATTCAAGACAGTCCCGGATTCTGGATTCCACACCGTGGATTCCGGATTCCAAAGCCTCCATCAAAATGTCCAATTTTCCAGATTCAACAAGCAAAAAAATTTCCGGGATTCCGGATTTGGATTCTGTTGCATGGCGCGAGCCTTGGGCTTCAGGCAAATCCGTTTAATGTCTTTTTCCTCTCAAAGATCAAGGACGATTACTCGAGAGCATAGCCAAATCATCAGCACTTCAAGATGGGTAAAGAAGGTCGAACTGTATCTCTCAGGATGGCAACAACCTATTAATACTAGAGACAGAGGATTCAACTATTCAATCTGCCTTATTTGCCTTACTTCTACTCCGGAGTTAACAGCAAATGCCTCTGAGAGCGTATTGTGAAGAAAGATTTCGGATTACAGTTAGCCTGGGACCAGGCTCCGCATTGGGGGAAAAAGGCAAAAAACGGGGTCAAATAGGAATTTTTTTTCGCCAAAGCCGCGATTTTTTCCCCTTTTCCCCACAATGAAGAGCCTGATCCCAGGCTAGTTTACAGTCAAACCGAGAAAACTGTGAACACCAGAAATATTTCTGGAATGTTATTGGGTTGCGAGAAAAAAAAAAAGAACAACAACAAAACAAAAAAACAATCAAGCGTAAGAAAACTAAACGGCAAGCAAGAACGTTAATTACAGTGTTTGGTTTTGTGGTTAGTTCGCGTGTCCTGATCTTTGCTGTAATTGGTCATAACGCAATAAACATTCCTGAAATATTTCAAGTGTTCACGATGTTCCCGGTCCCTCTGTAAAAGTGATCATAGAAAAGGCCTATGTCACATGCACAAAGTGAATATGTGTTCCACGCAGCCTCTTCCTCCGTGGTAACCTGTCTGTTCTTCTCTTAGTCTGCTCTAAATTGCTGTTTTTAATTATTGATTCGCCCCAGTAAGACCCTACAGACACTTGCATATTGTCTAACATTGGATCAAAAATGTGTTCCCTCTCACAGCTGGGTGGAAATTCTGGTCATATCAAATGTGTAGATCCGAGGTTATTCAAGAACAACAATACGAAATGAAAATCCACAGGATGCAATGCTCAATTCATTGCATTTGCTATTATTCTGCGAAGTGCATGAGTCAAGGTATTTGGGAAAGGAAACAACAGTCGAACAAAAGAACACGGGTTAATTAGAGGCAGGATGTGGATTGTCAAGTGAAGCCCGACACTCAAAAAATACTTCCTGGTTGAATTCCCGCTTCCTAAACAAAAGAGGCCAAATAAGAGAGAGGGGGAGAAAGAGACCAATCAAAAGGAGACTTAATTAATTTTTAGGCCACTGCAATGTGATTTGAAAAAATGTTTAAAGGTTTTAAAAATGTTAAGGCTTGTTTATAGTGAAAAGTGCACTTAGCTTATCCAGCTAGTTTACAGACACTCACTCAAATACTTAGAAACAAATAATTCAAATACTATGTGCTTTACCTCTGATGCGGATTACTTCTCTGTGCTTTACTTATCCCTTTAAGAGAACACAATGGAAATATTATTATCAAGAAAGGAAATATTACTTTTTTAGCTAAAGCAAGATGTCGGGAGAGCAACACGTTCTGCTTGTCCAGGTGCGCTACTTCTATGGAAGCTACAATGCTTCTTGCTCAAGGAAGTCCAGGTATACCTACCTTTAAAGATTAATATGTGCTTACGCACTGCTCTCAACCAACACATTTTTTCGTGGTAAGGAAGAAAGAAGGATATCGGGTGGGGAACACGTGGAAGAACCTACTTTAAAAGGGCATTACGCTCCCCGGTTTAACAGTATGCATTTTGAATCCACCAAAGATCAGATGTGGATCAGAGCTAACGCTGCCCAAAAATATAAAAGGTCATCAGTGGAATCCAGTTCCGTGTCGTCAAGGGGGAAAGCATCGCCTTAGACTTTATATTTTTGCTGGGGATCAAGCATAAGAGGACTATTCCTTTGTGGGCAAGAGCAAACGGAGAGGTGGAGCGACGAAACAAGTCTACCCGCATGGGAGCTGAGTCAAGCTGCAGGCTTGTTAAGACTATGTTATATAAGGACTTTGCTACCAAGAGACATTTTGTTGAGAAGAAACTAATCGTTGAAATATTCAAACAGTTTTATTAATTCTGCTTATACGGGATTGTTACAGTTCTAGCTCATAGTTTTATTTGTTTCATGGTCTATTGCTTCATTTCAAGAAAAGGAGGAAATGTAGTGATCATGTATTGGGATTCCTGTACTCGTGCTTGCAAAGCATTGTGGGAAGTGTGTGAATATATGGCGGACTGAAAATGTGCTTTTTTTTTTTTCTGAGAGTGTAATCCGTAATCACCTGGCGTGCAGTCACTACACCCCTTTCGTTTTTATATTACTTTTCAACAAGTAACACCATTCATGATTTTTTTTTCTATATAAGCTTAAGCTTAAGCTTAAGCTTAATGCAAGGTCTGCAAACAAATTATACTTTACCTACTAACAAATTTATTATTGACGATTGTCATACAGTTCAATATAGAGGTGTTATGATAATTTTTATGGAGCATTTGAACAGTAAGTCACCACCTCTCACTACAGACGGCATGTTCTCAATTGAGAACTAATGGGTATTACCCTTTGAGAAAATGTGATACGGGTGGGTTATCTGCGCACCGTCTATTTTCCTTGTCACAATCATGTGATAATTGTAGACAATGTACAATGTTCAAACAATGACAGATTTTTTGGGGTCTAAGTAGCAGAATAGCATGATATGTCTGAATTTTATAAGTCAGTCTTTCTTCTTGTGTTTTACCCTTGTTCTATATATAACAATTTAATACATTTTTTTCCGCCTCCTACTACACAAGTTTTACCTTCTTGGCTTTTCGCCGCAGTCATTGTTCTTACCTTTCTTCCTCCTTGTCGGCCTTAGCCTTATCCATACAACATGTTAGTTATAATACTGCGCATTCCAAAGAAAAACAAAACAACAACAACAAAAAAAACAGCCAAACAAAATACACGACAACAAAGAGGGAGAGCTGCGTAACATTCTTATGTATATAAAGGGTTTAGCTTATCGTTTCAGTGATGTCTTACGACTGCATCATATACCACCCCTTCTAGAGGAGAAGGCTGGTTGGATCGAGTTTCCAGTACTATTTTTATTGCATTAGGTCTTGGAGGTCACTCTGTGAGCTTTGGAAATATAGGAATGCTTCTCTGGGGAAATTTAGATTTGAAGGAAATTGATATCACGAGATGCTCTAATGATTGAAAATTGTTCAGTAATTTTTGGGCAATTCAGTTCATGATACATTTCTACAGATGCTGCTTGTGAGAAGTATTTCGGTAATTTCCTTAATTTCTACAGACGCTCCCTTATACAAACCATATAGGTATGTGCCGCCCCAAAGGGTAGGGTTTTTTCGCCGTTTTGGTCTGAAAACGGTTAAAGACTTTGCCCATTTGTCTGGAATCGGGAATAGTTTTCGAGGGAGCTAAGGTGGTGTATGACATATTTGTCAATTGGTTCTAAATGATTAAGATAT